GCGTCAGCGAGGTCACGTGACTAGTATCACGCCACCTCCTTTTAGAAATATCCTGTTCCCTCGTGAATTGTCGGGAGATTACTAGATTGGGGGTAAGCTGGTGTATATAAGATCGGCCACGAAGCGACGGGACAGGTAATGAGTAATTTAATTTATGCGGACAAAATATTGTTCGCAACGTGAGTTATAGCGTTGTTATAGAGCGGCTGTTGAAATTAAGTGTATCGTAAAGTTGTATTCGGAAAGAATAAACCAGTTTTATTTAAGAAAGGACTTGTGTCGCTAAAGTTTCGTCGGAACGAATTTACGGAAAATTAACGAACGAACGGAGACGTAACATACCTTTAAAAGTACACAAGTATGTATAAATCAAGCAATGTGCAAATGATAGTAAACTGTTTTCAAGCTAAACCTGTAAGTATACAAGTAATTAATGTAACTCATGGTGCTTAAAGGTCAAGAAAATCACATGTTGATAAAACATATATTTAATAATCTCAGGACTTTCAAAGAGGAAGATGGAAAATTCACCTTTTCAAAGCTGAGATGATTCCTACTTCCCAGACTCTCAGGTGTCTAGTAGTTACACAAAGTAGCTTCACACTATGTTTTCAATGTTAAAATCATGTACTTTTATTCAGTGTGCTGGTAAGATCAGATTGAATACAATCAACATACAATGAACACTGTAAGACATAAAATAACTGTATCGTGTTTTGACATATGATCCATTACATTGTTATACCTTGGGGTATCCCAAACCCATATACTTATGATATATCCTGGGGCACTCAAGGAATAACAACTGCCAAATCCAGGGTCCCTCAGAGAAAATCATCAATAATCAGAATTGTAAATTAGAAATAAAATAATTAATAAATACGGATGAAAGACTCCTGATGTCTTGAGGCATTGCATAATGAGTCATATGGTGGAGACCTTTACATGATTAAGACAAACACATAATTATTCCTAAAAGCCATATAAATATACATATCTTTCCAAACTGCTGGCTTGAACAACATTATTATATTAACAATGACATATATAGGCCATCATTATATACAATAATCTGCTAGTAAAAAAAAGAAAACAAATAATCTCAAAATGTACATGGCCTTGCTTTGGACAATTGCCGTGCCCTACCATTAATATTACAAAATTCTCTAGTTATCAAGCTTCTTATATTGTGTTAGAACTATATTTTCATTACAGCATGTGGTTCTTTTTGGAATTTTTATATAATTTCTAAAAAAAAAAATTCACTATAAGGAGACAGTTAAAGGGAAAGAATTTTTTAAAGTCCAGAAAAACAACATGACATGATGGAATTTTTAGAGGGATTTATTTATTAAATTCTAAAATAACATTCTTTAATTGTCAAAGGACTGAGAAACCTTAATAGTGATAGATGTTAAATTTAAGTCCAAGTTTAATTCTTTTAACTACAAAGTACAACATCTTCCGAAAGATATGCCTGGAAAACACAGAATTAAAATAGCACACCCACACAAAGTCCTGCCTTTGTCAGTTACGTGAGCTTCTTAAGACTTATACTACTAAAAATCAGGTTTTAATATTCGTAGTGGGCAGAGGACAAATAAGCTATTGTGTAGCTTTGCGCTTAACAACAAACAGTTAGATGGATTGCTAGTCACTAAATCTATCAACTCACCCAAAAAGTTTCCTAGTGTTACGACAGCGGAAGTCACCTGACACTAGTAACACGCCGTGAACTTCTAGAACGTTCATGTCTCTTCCTGAAGCCTCGAGAGGTTACTAGATATGTGGTATTCTTGTATATATAAGACCGGTAAGAAGTGACGGCAACAATGTAATGTAATTGAACTGCAGACAGAGATAGAGACGTACTGTTGGGTCGAGCGCGTGTGTGTTCGTTATGAATTATAGCG